ATCCAAGGACTGGCACAGCTCAAACTGATGCCATTAAATTCTCCTTCTCCCAAATCCAGGTTCTCCTTTGCTGCGGAGTTTTTGCCCGTCCCACAGTCCAGAGGGACCTCTGGCAGCTGCACTGCCCAAGAGCTGCCGTGGGACTGCTGGGGAATGCACCACTGGAAGCAAGACAGAAATAAATTAATTCAGAGCACTACCTCGGAAGATTGAAGGAAAAAACCCTCCCAACATTCCATTGCCTCCCTTTCCAAATGGAACCGTGTGAGCTCCGTGTGAGCCGGGAGGCTCCGGGCTGTGGGAAAGCACCCGGAGGGATGGAGGGAACACGATGCTCCTCTCCTCGCTCCATCCCCAGCACTGCCCTCGGGATACTCGGCACCACAGCTGGGGGATGGCCCTTCACTCCATCCCCATGGATCCTGCTGCCCCCCCAGAGCCAGAACCACCTCCGGAGGGGGGATGGAATGCTGGGCACGGATGCTCGGCTGGAAGGCAACACATCCCCAGCAGCACCCAAATCCCTGCAGCTCCGTGTTTGTTGCTGCCCAGCTCAGCTGATCCCCCTCTTCAGCATCCCTGGGTGTTGTCCAGGAGCACCTGCCCAAGGGGATGTGCCATAAAAATGCCCCTTCTCCAGATAAAACTGCCCCCTCTCCTGAAACTTCTCCTTTGGGAAGGTAGCAACGCAGGGAACGGCAAACATCACCTTTGGGATGTGCCTGAGGAGGATTTCCCGACTTCCCTTGAGAAACCCACACAGAAAACAGCCCAAAAACTTGTGTAGTTATGCACACTCAAACCAAATGAATACTCAAACCAGGCTCAGGCCAAGGGCAAAAGGCAGCTTCAGCATCCCACAGAGGAACAGGAGAGCAGCTCAGGATGTATAAAAATGTCCCAAACACATCCCAGAATTACAGTTAGAGATGGAGATCAGCTTCAGCCCCTCAGCATTTAGTTTTCCATTTATAAATACCAATTTTTATTGTTTTAAGCAAATACAGTTAATTGCACACGTGCCTGGTTGGCAGGGGAAGAGTCCAGCACCAACATTTTAGAGTTTAATTTGGAGAGGGGGAAAAAAAAAAGCTAAAAATTGCCAAATCTATAAACCAGGAAGTTTTTACACTTGAGTTTGCTGTATGTTTCCCTTCCAATGTTATTTTCAGGAAGTAACAAAACCATCACACATGTGAGGGACTAAAAAGGTGATTTAAGGAATGTTTTACTCTCACACTTTCTCACTTTACCCCTCACAACCACCACATCATGGACCAGATGCTCAAAAATCAGTGTTCAGTAGCTGCCATTGGAATTTTAAGGGGCATCAAGGAAGCCTTGATAAATATTTGGGTAATTTCTCAAGACAGGTTTTCCTTCTCCATCTGTGTCAGTGTCCAGCACAATTCCCTGTTCCTGCTTGGTCACCAGGAGCTGCCAGAGGAAATGTCAGTCGTCGGCTTCACCTCCTTGGCGTCGCCTCATTAGTCCAGAGGTTAATTAATTGGAAGATAATAAATCTGCTAAGTGGTAGAAGAAGATCACAGCGAAGCATCAGCTCTGCCACGGGATATTCCTGCTCCCGGAACCCGATCCCTGATCAATAACTATCCTCCAAACTCAGTTATTCCAGCTAAACCACAGCAGCACAATTTGGAGGGACAGAAGTTTTCAGCCTCGTGGGAGTGATGGGAGGAACTTCTCTGGGAGGAAATCCTCAAGTTTAAAATCTTATTCCTCACTTCTCTGACTAACAAACCTCTTAAAATCCAGCCTGGATGGCGCAGGAAAGCTCCTTGGTCCTGCTAGGAAATTGCTCTCCCCTAAATATCTACAAAAGGCATTATCAGTTATTTCAACTGAGTCAATGAATCATTAAGGAAAAGAGGAAACAAGTAATCTGGAAAAAATTTTGGCTGAAGTTTTCCTCAGGAATGAGCTGGGAGATCAGCAGCAAGGCTGTCCGACAGGCAGAGTGTGTGATATAAAATATATATTTGCATACATAAATATATATATTTATATCACAAAGTATATATCTCACATTTATCTACCATATATATACATATGACCACAAATATTTCTCTGTCACAAACTCTACCTATAAACTCCCACACGCACACCTGTTTTCAGGAATGTGACATTTTTAGGGATCCTCAAATCAAACACATGCAGTGCTGCACGAGGGAAAACAAACCACGATTTTATCCCATTAAATCCAAGATGTTTTCCTGGATGTGCTGCTGGGTGTGTTCTCCTGTAAGCTCCTTTGGCTTATCCACGAAGTGCACTCGGAATTGTCAGGATCATGAAGCCCCTTTGGCATTTTACTGTCTCTGCAGTACCCGCTGGGATGAGTTTTTCCAGAATTATTCCTTCCGGTCCAAGCGCATCTCCTCGAGTTCCCTCTCGCTTTCTGCATCCTGGAAATGCAAGAAGGGAACAGATAAATGCACAGCTCAATTGAAACAACTAAAAAAAGACAATTTCCCTTCTTTCTACAACCCTAAACCAGTTCTTAAGCATATCAGAGAATCAAAGAATCCTGGAATGGTTTGGGTGGGAAGGGACCTAAAGCCCACATCCAGTGCCACCCCCTGCCACGGG